TTCCCTTTTGACTGTAAGCCGCCCTGAGTCCCCTCAGGGAAAAGGGCGGCCTATAAATGTCTAATAAAACAAAAAACAAACAAAACAAGCACACAAGATTGTGGTTTCCTCTTATCGAAGGTGTGACGTTCTCCTCCACCGTAAGTGCCACGGACCCCTGCCGGCCTTGTTCCATGTGCCCGAGACAACTCCCCATCCGCGATTCCTGCACGGCGACCCGTGACACCCTTTGCTCCACCGGCTGTCCGCGCGGACATTACCTCGCACCGGGAAACGGGACGCAGCCCCAAAGATCCTGCGTTCCTTGCCGGGTGTGCGACGAAGGCTACGGGACAGTCCAGGAGTGCAAGCCCAACAGCGACACAGTGTGCCAAAAATGCCCCGAGGGGTACTACTCGGAGGTGAAGAGCCCGTACGAGCCGTGTCTGATTTGCCAACGAGAATGCGGACCGAAGGAAGTCATGATCCAGCCGTGTACCCCGTTATCAGACACTCTCTGCATGGGTACGTTGGCGCACCGGGAGGGGTGGGGGAGAACCTGGATGGGGGAGGGTCAGGATCCTTCAGGAGAATTCAGTGGGGGTGAAGGACACAAGGCTGCTCATCGGGGATCTAGTGGATTCTGCGGACTCGTTCCGCCGAAGAGTGCGATTGGATTTGCTCGCAGCCGAACCGTCTTCTCTCTAAAGATTTTGGGGCCGCCTTACAGGTGGTTCTTGCTTTATGACCACAGTCGAGCCTGTAATTTCCACTGCTAAGCGAGAGAGCTGATAAGGGAGCTCTGCCCCATTTTACAACCTTTCTTGCCACAGCTGTTAAGCGAATCACTGCACTTCTTAAATTAGTAACACGGTTGTTAAGTGAATCAGGCTTCCCTCTAGAGTTTGCTTATTGGAAGGTCGCAAAAGGGGATAATGTAACCCCGGGACACTGCCACCGTCATAAATAAGAGTCAGTAGCCAAGCGTCTGAATTTGGAGCACATGACCCCCTGCAATGGTCGTAAGTGTGAAAAATGGTCCAGAGTGATTTTTTTCAATGCTGTTGTAACTTTTGAACAGTCATTGAACAAACTGTTGTAAGTCAAGGACTACCTGTATTAGGAAGCTGGGCAGAAATTCTCCCAGGTTTTATGTACTGGCAGTCCTCAACTTATGACTGTCCATTTAGTGACTGTTCAAAGTTACAACAGAACCAGAAAGGGTCATTTTTCAAGCAGTCCCAGTTTTAGGTACTCCTGGATAGTCCTTGAATTGCAAAGATTCGTTGAGCGACCGTTTGAAGATGCAACCGCAGTGGGAAAAGTGACCATGACTGATCCTCGTAGTTATGACTTCCATGGCACGGCCAAGGCAGGCGGTTGTTAAAGTGAATCATGCCTGAATTTAGGCCTTTTAGGCTGCGATTGTTAAGCGTCACTGCGGCCGTTAAGGGAACTAGGGCGTCGTTCAGCAAATCTGGCTCCCCCCATTCCCCCCCCATTCCCCCCCCCACCCCCGATGGACTTGACAGGTTGGAAGACGGCTGGGAAGGTCACAAAACAGGGTTGTGGGACTCAGCAGAGATGCTGCGCCACAGTGACGCAGGGCTCAGAGTGGAGTACCGCAGGGCTACTTCTGCTGACTGCCAGATACCTGCAGTTCGGCTGTTCAAATCTCACCGGCTCAGGGTTGACTCAGCCTTCCATCCTCCCGAGGTGGGTAAAATGAGGACCCAGATTGTTGTTGGGNTTTCTCACCGTCTGGGGTTTTAAAGGGTTGGGGGAGGAGAGAAAAGGATCTCAAATCTATGGAGTTTGCAAACCCCGATTTCTTTAACTCCTGGTCTGATTCTCCGATCTGACTCTGGTTTCAGCTTCTGGCGCATCAAAGCTGCGAGAATGGGGAGGTGGCTTCGTCGGGGGAGTGCTGCACCCTCTGTCCCCCAGGCTTCGGGGCACGGGTGCCCTGTGGGGGCACCAACACCGTTTGTGAACCCTGCCAAGAAAGTGAGTATCCAGTTCCTTTTGGGGGGGGGGGGGGCAGGTGAGGTGTAAACCAGTTTGGACCCTACAGATGTAGAACAAAACCAGTCCCGTATTCAAGAGATGGATAATAGTATAGTAGAATTTGGGAGTCTGGGAGTTCTAGTCCCGCCTTACAAATGAAAGCCAGGTGCTTGAACTTTGGGCCAATCACCAGGAGGCGGGGAGTTCTAGCCCCATCTTAGGTACGAAAGCTGTCCGAATGACTTTGGATCAGTGATTCTGTCTCATCCCAACCCACCTCACAAGGTTGTTGTGGAGGAAAGAGGAGGAAGGAGAATTTGGGACGTTCATCACCTTCTGTTATTTAGAAAGATAATAAAAGTGAGGTAAATAAAAAATAAATAAATTGCAAATGGATCTAGGATATGCCCAAATTACTTCCGGGGGTGGGTGTGGGGAGAGAATCCCCCTAATAGAAAGACCACTGCCCTGGGTAGTCCGTTCCCCCCCCCCCCTGTCATCTTAAACATAAACCCCTTGGTCTTTAGTGGTAATCCTTGACTTACAACCACAACTGGGAGAATCTACATTCTGATCAAGGCAGTTCTGAGTGAGTTTTGCCCCTTTTTGATGGCCTTTGCCGTGGTCGTTATGCGAATCACATGGTCGTTAAGAGAACCAGGCTCCCCCCATTGTTTATTGGAAGCCAGCCCAGAATGGCTGCAAATGGTGATCAGATAAGTGCATGCCAGTTGCCAAGTGCTTGGATTTCGATAACGTGACCACGGGTCGTCAGTATGAGGACTGTCACAATTCACGACTGCCATTATGGTTGTAAATCAGGGACTACCTATAGAATCCATTCGTTTTTTCTACTGTATCGCTGGCTGTGTTGTACGCCTGTACCTTAATTTGCCCAATCACTCCAATCGTGCAAATTCAAAACCTCCGGGAAAACGATTGGAGCTTTCGTCTCGAATTGGGATTGGTGACACTACGCACCACGGTTCGCCCACATAACACCGATCCTCCGTGAGCTGCACTGGCTACCTG